AAGATTATGAATGATTAAAACTGTAACCAGCTTCCAATCTACTTGAGAAACAAGAATAAGACACAGGAGAAAAACGGCAGGCTGCAGTAACGACCCTCTTGAAGAAGAAAGAAGGAAATTGCTTCTGGTGTGAAAGTGTTACTATTTTAGGCGACAGGCAAATTCATGGGTAAATCTGTTCTTTGGACATGCTTCAACACAGATGAACCTCACAAACATATGCTGAATGAAAGACAAAAGACCACATGTAGCATGATTCCATTTAAATGAAACGTCCAGAGTAGGCAAATCTATGGAGACAGAAAGTAGATCAGCGGTTGGGGGGAGGGGGAAAAGGGGAGTGAGTGCTTCACGTGTACAAGTTTCTTTATGGGGTGATGAAAATGTTCTAAAAAATAGATTGTGTGCTCCACAAATCCGTAAATATACTAAAAACCATTGAATTGCACACTTTAAATGGGGGAATTTAATGGTATGTAAATTACATCTCAATAAAACTGCTTTAAAAAAAATCTGCTGTCCCTGATGTTGACACACCTGCATAGAGGACACCCTCACCTGTAAGATGAAGTTTGGTGATTCTTTTCTTGTTTTTATATAATGACCATGACCAAGTACTGAACCAATATAATTTAATAAGGTGGATGTTTTCAAAATCATCATTGGCATTGAATCCAAAAGTACAACATAAGATAAATAGAAGCCTGCCTCAGTTATAAGACATAGGCAGTGTTTTACTATGATGATTTGTGCATTCCCAAATGAACCTTCCTCCAATGTATCAGTGGAGTCAATCCAAAAGCATCTTAAAGTATTAAGAGTTTCTGGGACAAGTTGCTGACTCTTAATTGCAAAGGGAAAAAAAAGAGACAATTGGTCTAAATGACCCCTACTTAGAAATATATTTGGGTTTGCAAAATGACCTTGGGATTATATTTTTACAAATCTTTCCAAATAGTGAGAAATGTGACTAAATAACAACAGTCATGAGATTGGGGAATCATGAAAGCAAGTAATCTACCAATAAAATATAAGGAAAGGGTAGAAAGGAAAGTGATTTAAACCAGGGATTCTGACTCTACTTGTGTGAGTTTCATCGTGTCTGTCCCTCAGGTTACTGGCAGAGCTGAGAGGCCACGCCCTTCCTGCCCTCCTTATCTCCTGTAATACACATAGATAAACAGTGACCACAAAGAAGACATTCAACCAATTTCTGATGTTCAGAATGAAGCTAAAAAGGAATTCTGAGCTGATGGGTCCTTGAGAGTTGAGAGAGGCATGAAAGAATATTACTTCAAAGATTGAAAGAGAACTTGAAAGTTGAATTGGATAATGTTTTAGAGATTTGCCTTTAATTTCTCCTCACTCCTTTAAGCATATCACTCCTGCTAGGATACTTAGAAATTTAAAAATGATTGAGGAGTCTATTGAGTCTTCAGGAGTTCTTGACTCTCAGATGGATTATGCTTTCTATTAGAGTCCAGTGGTACTTGGCCTGTTATGTTAATCCATATTTAAACTAGGGTGACCTCACGTCCCAATTTGCCCGGGACAGTCCTGGTTTACACCTGTTGTCCCAGCAGAATTATTAATAGCATCTTCTTCCATTCTCAATAACGTCCTGGTTTGGAAGATTAAATTCTACAATCACTCTAACTTTGACTCCAAAAAATACTCAAGAATATGCCACACTTTCTTATTAATTGTTACAATTTATAGCTACAATTTCTGAGACCCTTCCTTCTCTCTGTCCCATTTAAAGCATTGTTTGAACTTTAGAAGGCTCCTCACAAAACTAGAAAGCCAGTGGCGAGACAAAGAGGACTGCATCCATATCAAGACAACTGTTGTTCATTAACAATGCATATTACTTAATTAACATGCCTTGCTAATTAATAATATTTTAATTATTCAGGTTGCATTTCTATTAATCAGCTATATTATTAATTCAATTGTATTATTAAGTATTTAATGAACCCTAATGGTTGGATAGCACATACCTTCATAGCCAAAGAGAAGTAAAAACAAGAAGCCTTCTATCTTGCGTGGCATTCTCCCCTTGTCCTTGGCTGCAGCTCTACCTTCTCGAAGTGGAGAGCTTCTCCAGGAGCAGGAGCTTAACTTGAGCACTGGCCTCATTAAGCATCTTATTCCATTTAGTTCTTAGGGCTTTCGCTGAGCCCCACCAAGTTAACCCACATAGTTACCTGCCTCAACAAGGAAGTCTCAGAGAAAAATCTAATGTCAACGGAGGTCAGTTTAGCAAAGGAAGATATTGGTTTTATTTTTAAATGGAAGGGGAGCAGTGGAGGGAAATAGCAACTAGAATCAGAAGGCCCAGGTCTTAATCCTTTCCGTGCCATCATCTTCTAGGGGGTGACCTTGAGCAATTTCCCGCTGAATAAGCACTAACATTCTCAAATTCCATGAAAATGACATGGATTCCCCTCTTAGAAAGCACATTGGCATCAATGTTCATACCTATTCACTCAGGAAAATACTAAATTTGGGCGGGGGGGACAGTTACACACAAAGATGTATATTGCTGCATTATTTATAATAACAAAAAATGGGAAACAATCTACATGGCCAAGGTTAGGATGTTCAGCGCAGCAGGTAGTTAACTGTTAAGAGCAGAGATTCCCAAGACAGACTGGGGGCAAATCCCTGCTCAACCACTTGTTATGAGACCTTGGGCAAGTTACTTAAGGTCTCTGTGCCTCAACTTTCTCATCTGTAAGATGGTGATAATAATGCCTACTTCATAGAGTTAGTCTGAGGCTTAAATGAGAGAGAGATATATATATATATACATACGTAAAATACTTAGAACAGTAATTGAAATAATTAGCTATTATTATTATATAGCCATTAATAATAAAGTTGATGAGGGGAAGGGGAGTTGTTTAATGAATATAGAGTTTCAGTTTTGCAAGATGAAAAAGTTCTGGAGATCTTTTTCACAACAATGTGAATATACTTAACATTACTGAACAGTACACTTAACAAGGATTAAGATGGTAAAAAAAAAAAGAATCAAGTTAATGAAGTGATTGTAGTAACGGGGCAATCATGTGTTATACTCTTGAATTAGAAAAGGATGCAATTGTACACACTGCATGAGCAAAACTACTTGGAAAAATGCAGAGAAAAATGCTGTTTCGTTTTCCCTTTTTAGTTCTTGGCCACCACTATCCCACCTCAGCCCCCAGAGTCCCAGACACCTTTCCTTCATTCCTCTTGTGGAAGACGAAACAGACCAATATTAAAAAGATAATAATAACCCCCCAAACGAAACTGTAATGAACTAGTAAGGAGAAACAAAAAGGAACTAGGGTAACGTTTAGTCATTCAATCAGCATTTATGGAGTATCTACAAGGCTGACATTTATTCTATATTGTGTGTATGGATTCTTCACTGAACAGACGAAGGTCTATTCAACAAACTCTACTGCTGTATTAAAAAGAAAAGGACTATTTTTTCCCCTGCTCTGCATTTTAGAGTTTAGTGAAAAACCTTTAATAATCATGATGATGATGACGATGATAATAATAAACGTTTAATAATTCAACTGCAGTCAAAGAGCTGCTGTATTGCCATATTTTAGCTGGAGGCTTTGGGGGGGCCGGCCTGTCCTGGTTTGCAGGGAAAGGGCCGCGCCCGGTGGTCTTGCTTCCCACGAGTGCCGGATTTTCCGAGGCCGCTCGGGAGTACCGGAGAAGAGATGGGGGTAGGGCCCGGGCGAGGCGGGGGCGTCCTAGGGACTACGACAAGGCCGGGACCCTACCTCTGCTGTTTGTCAGGTAGGGCGATGGCGGCGGGGATGGGAGGAGAAGGTATCTGTCATTACGCTTGTGATAAAAAGATGCCAAAAAATAGAAAAATAAAATAAATAAATTAAAAAATAAAAGGAGAAAGAAAGCACCTTGTCTTTGCTTTCCATGTTTCTACCCAGGCACTCAAAGTAGTAAAACTGAAAAACTAGCTACCCGGCCATGGTTCCACTGGGGCTCGAACCCAGGACCTTCTGCGTGTAAAGCAGACGTGATAACCACTACACTATGGAACCTTCACGTGGGAACGTCTCATCGTTGGTTTATTCATAGTCTGACATCATAAACAGCGCCTCCGGGGAAACCGGCTCCCTCCGCCGTGGCCCCGCCCCCGCCGTGGCCCCGCCCCTCCTGCGAGGTACGGCGTTCGCGGCCAGGCCGCGGGCTCCGGCTCCCGTTCCGGTGTCTGGGCTGCTCGCGGTGCTCGTGTGCCGGGTTCGTCGCTCTGCGACCAGGCAGGCCAGAGCCTGGCTTACCCCCCTGGCCGAGAGTTCCGTCGCACTAATGACCCGTCCCCAAACTTTCCCTCAGCCGGGGCGTCGGCGAGGCCGGCCCGGCGGGCGCAAGCGGACCATGCTCGCGGCACGGCCCGTTCTGGCAGCTTCCCTCAGCTCGGGAGGGCCCCGCGCTTTCCCCATTTTCCCCACGGACACACTGAGTCGCTTCGGGCACATTGGAGGCCTTGAGTCCGGAGCAGGGCGGACGGGAGCCCCACTTGGAGCCAAGATTCAGCAGCGCGGGGTTTGGGGGTGCGCTGGGGGTCATTTCTATATTGGCATTCATTTTGCCAGGGTTGGAAAAGGCCGCTCGTCAGTCGGCCTCTTGCCGGAGGATGTAGGCTCTTAATGCGCCCCTGACTTTTTCCACAACATTCTTCCCCTCAGAGAGGGGCGAAAAATGACCGGGCTTTTGTTTGCTCTGATTCGCCTGGGGTTGGGTGGGGTTGGGGGTGCGGTGTAGACAGGCCACCCCTTTATGGCTGGGGGGGATGCAGGACCGGCCACAAGATTCGAGGGGCCAGTGCAAAATGCAAATGCCAGGTTCCTCGTTCATAAGTTATTGCGAATTCCAAAACGGTGACAGCAGAGCATTAACCCCAGCGCGGCCCGTGCGAGGCCCGCGAACCTGCCGCTGTGCTTCCAGGACTGTGGTCCCCACGGGGTGCTGGGACTCGCCGTTACAAAGGGCTCCTGTATGGTCTCGCTTCTTGGTTTTCATTGTCAGTGCTGTTTGCCCTCCCCAGTGCTTCTGGATGGATCTTCGTCACCATCCTAGGATTTCCCGCCATCCTCAAGCTTGAAAACCCACTTAAAACCATTTGGGGGGCATCTTTAAGTGCTGAATTGGACATGACTGAAGGCTGCAGCCGGCCTTTTCCCTGACGTCTTCCTCTGAGGCTCCCAGAATGGTGGAGAAATGATACTGATTGTACGAAAGCAACCCCTTCAGCCAACTCCTGTCTTCCTGGGAAAGCCCCTGGAAGAAACAGGTGGGTGGAAGGTGCACTAATCGGAGGGGCATGATCTGGATTCTAGTCCTGTCTTGGCTACTCTTGAACTAGTCAGTTCTCCTCCCAAGCCTCAGTGTCCTCCTTTGTGAAATGCATGGGTTGGACTAGACACCCCCACTTTGCCCTCTGGGTCTAAATGTCATCCCTACTTTCCAGGTGGGAAAATGGAGGCTGTTATCTGCCCTGTATGTTTTTCTACAGAAATAGAGGCAGGCCTGCAGCTAGTGCTTGGGTTGTCTAGGACCAGATTTCCTGTGTCCTGGTTAGCGCCCTGTAATATTCATCGTGGGGCCTCTTCCAGAATGCCTTTTTGTTGATACATTTCGAGAGGCCTCTTGAGCACTTGATGTTTAGATTATGAGCCATGAGATGACCATGGGTGGACAGCCACTAGCCAGAGGATGCATTCATGAAAGCTCCGTGTTTCTGCTAGTCAATGAACTCTGACTCCGGGATGCCCAATATTAAGTATATCCCACCTGTTGCCAAACCCCTCTCAGTTCAAAACAAGGCTACCAAGAATTGGGCCTGAAATTACACTCACCAGTTGTATTTTGGTTTGTCTCCAGGGAACGCTTTGCTCTCCCTCCAGCTTTGTCTGCACTTGCTATAAGGGTGGGTTCACCAAGTGCAAGCCTTGGCCAAGTTCCCGCACGTACACTCTCTGTAGAAAAGAAGCTGGTGTACCTCTGATGCACGTGACACAGGTTTCTGCCCTTAGTGAAAAACTCGTGTTCCATTTCTCCATTCTGACAAGGAGGGAGACTCTTGTTCCACTCTCCCGGTGCCCTCAAGGAGTAGTCACAATCTCTATTATTAGTAAAGTGCAATATGGTTTACAAAGCACTTTCACATACATTCCTATGAGATAGCCATGGTAAGTGTTACTATCTCCATTTTTCAGCTGAAGAAGTTGAAGCTGAAAAGCTTGCCTTGTCTGAGACCATTCTACAGGTGAGTGGCAGGGCTGGGCTCAAACTCAGCCTTCTGATACTTAAGTGATTTCGGGAGGCCCATGTCCAGAAAGACTACATGTTGTTGTTCCCATACGAGTGCCATTGGTCTCGTAATATATTGTATGCATGCCAGTGAGGAGGTGGATACCTTTTATTTTTCATCTTCTGTAGTTTTTAAATGAAATCCTCAAAAGCAGGAACCAAGAGCCTGCTGGAAACAACTGTTGATGACTTGCACCTTGAAACCACCAGTGTCCTGGATAGTGCCTCAGCTGGCCACATTTTTGCCTGGCACTTCAGTCTTTTCAGTCAGATTGGTGAGGCCTGTCCCCCTCCCAGGTATACCCATAAGCAGCTGAACAACGATAAGACAAATACATCAACAAACTAGTAAATAAACACAGAAGTCACTTCAAACGTTTTGAGTCCTCTGATTTCTCAGATGTTTAGTGTGGCTTCCCCAGTATTAGGCTTCACTGATGGAGAGTAATGCAACCAAAGAAACCACAGCCCCAAACGCTGAGCTGACTTAGGAAGCTGATTTCATTTCATTTCATTTAGAAATGATTGTACTCTGTCTTTCAGTGAATACTCAAGTATTTACTAAGAAAAGTGAGTCATTATCATAGTATGGCAGAGCTCGCCTTATTTTTCCCCTTTTGTAGCTCTCCAAGTTCAGAACATTTGAAACTAGCCTATTGGAATGGATATTTGTTGCTTTCTGCCCACCTACCTTTTCATAGTCACTTACATCCCTCTGTCTTCTTACCCAGCTCAAGTTCTGTGGTGGTTTTTATCACTCGTTTGCCCCTTTGTTGCTTGTATTTGTTGGCAAAACCACAACCTGTTAAATCCAACTCTCTCCCTACTCCGCCCCTGAATATGGCCCCAAGAAGAACACACATTCAGGCCAACTGGTTTTACGTTAAATTCTTGACTACTTACCTCAAGTGAGCCTTTAATGTAGCCTAGAATCTGTCTGCTTCCCCTGTCCATTCATTCTCTACCTCTCCTAAAGGGCAGTTTCATATCTTCTCTCCCTAAACTTCCTGTACCTCCTTCCCCAACCTCACGTACAGCTGATGGACTTGGCTGCCTTATTTCAGTGCAAGAATGGAAGCAATCAGAAGAGAACTTCTACAAGTACCCGCCACATCTGCCCACCTACCTGCATGTGTGCCCTCATAGATCTAGACCAGGGCTCTTCGTCTAGATCAGGGCTTCTCCACCACAGCCCTGTTGACATTTCGGACTGGGTAACTCTTTGTCGTTGGGGCCTGTTCTGTGTGTTGTAGAATGTTTCACAGCGACCCTGGCCTCTACTCACTAGATGCCCATAGCACCCCTCCCCCAGTTGTGACAACTCAAAATATCCCCTGGGGGGGCAAAATCTTGGGGGCTATTTGGCAATGTCTGCAGACACTTTTGGTTGTCATGACTGGGAGGGGTTGGTGTGCTACTGGCATCCAGTCGGTAGAGACCAAGGATGCCGTGAAACATCTTGCAATGCACGGAACAGCCTCTCACAACAAAAAATGACCCAGTTTCACATGTCAATAGTGTCACGGTTGAGAAATCCTGTCCTAGATGAGTGGTCTGCATTCCTATCAAAAGCCAGCCTGCTCTCACCTACTCAAGGAAACCACCCCAACAGTTCCACCCTCTTTCAACTACATCATTATTTAACTTCTCCATTGGATCATTTTGATCAGCATGCAAATATTACACATTTCTCTCATCACTGAAAAAATAATCTCTTAATTCCATTTCTGCCTCTAGCTACTTCCATTTCTCTGCTCTCCTTATAGCAAAACTCTTAGAAAGATTTGTCTGTAGGCGCTCTCCCCAATTCCTCTCCTGTTGGAAGCACTTTCCCTCCCCTGCCTTTAGGATACCATCCTCTCCTGATTTTTGTTTCCTACCTCACTGGTTGCTCCTTCTCAGTCACCTTTGCTGGATCCTCATCTCTTTGACCTCTGAACATGGGTGGACCTCAGGTCTTGGTTCTTGGACTTCTCTATTCATTCTCACCACCTTGGCAACCTCATTCAATCTAATACCTTTAAATATCATCTATAACCTAGATGACTTCCAAATTTATATCTCTAATCCAGACTTTTCTCCCAGACTCCAAATCTACCTACTCAGCATCTCCATTTACATGTCTAATAGGCATCTCAAACCTAATATGTCTGTATCTAAGCTTTTGAGCTCTATCCTCTGAATCTGCTCCTCTCTCAGTCTTCCTTGTCTCAGATAAGAGCAACTCCATCTTTCCAGTTATTTAGGCCTAAAACTTAGAATCATACTTGATTCTTCTTTTTCTCACAACTCAATTCTAACCTCACTAGCAAATCCTATTGGCTTCACCTTCAAGATCTACCTGGAATCTGATCACTTTCTACCATCTCACCTGCTACCATACTAATCAAAGCCACGGTCACTTTTTGCTTAGATCATTGCCAAGAACCTCATCTCCTGTCTCCCAGCTTCTGCGTTTTTTTCCCTACAGACTATTCTCCACACAGTAGCCAGAGTTATCCTTTTAAAACCCAAGTTAGATCTTGTCACTCCTCTGCTCAGAGCCCTTCAGTAGCTCCTCACCTTAACTAGAATGAAAGCCACAGCCTTATAGTGGCCTGCAAGGCCCCGCTTGATCTGACCTATCTGTTACCTCTCTGATCATATATCCTATTACTTTGCCTTTTCTTTTACTCTCTTCCGGCCACATTTGCCTGCTTGCTGTTCTTCAAACACACTAGGCCTCTTCTGCCTCAGGGCCTTTGCATCTGCTGTTCTCTCAGCCTTGAATGCTCTTTCCCTGGGTCACCCTTTGCCCTCTCACCTTGCTCAAATATCTTCTCAGTGAGGTCTTTCCTGACTGCCCTATTTAAAATTGCTCTTTTCCTTTCCCCGTCACACTAGAAACTCAGTATCCCCCTTTCCTGCTTTATTTTTCTCTACAGCATTTATCACCATCTGATTTTCTAGATATTTAGTTATTTATTTTGTTGATTGCCAGTCCCCCACCATCCTCAACTAGAATGAAAGTTCCTTGAAGGCATGGATTTGGTTTTGTTCACTGCTGTATTCCACAGAGCCTAAGTAGTGCCTAGCACACAGTAGGTGCTTGATAAATATGTCTTGACTGAATCTGTGCAGGGTTGGGGATGACTCCAGCCAGGTCAGTCCGTCCCCATAAGAGCCAATCCTGGGGCTTTTGCTTGAATTCCCCAGAAGAGACATTTCCTTGTTCACCTTGGACTTGAACGTGAGATAATCCAGAGGCTGGAGGTTCTGCTGCCGTCTTACTATTGCATTGTGTCAGACAGGGCTCTTAGTTGCATACAGCAGAGCCCTCTTGTCCAAAATAGTCACTGCTCTTCCCCATGGAGGATTTTTACACCATGGCCCCACTGATAGGCTTGACCGAGTGTCTTGCTTTGGCCATTTGAATGTAGGCAGAGGTGATGTGTATCGCTTCCAAGCAAAAGCGTGAAGAGCCAGCTTGTGGTTCGCTACCTCAGTGTCTCCTCTTTGCTGTGAGAACAGCAGTGCCCCAGAGAGAGGTTAGCCTGAGTCTTAGAGGGAAGACCTCATGTTATGGAACTGCAGCCAACCTGCGCTGGCCGTGGAACAGGAGTGAAAAATAAACCTTGATTAACGTAATCAATTGATTATCGTAAGCCATTAAGATTTTGGGTTGTTTGTTACCAAAGCGTAATGTCACCTAAGCTGATTCAACATTCCTGCTAGTTTAAGAAGACAGTGAGTTCATTAAAGGGTATTTGGTGGCTCGCAGGATCTCCGAGAAGGCCTTGGAGACTCCAAAGCCGGAAATAATGTCTAAATCTCAGTGCGGGGCAGCAAAGATGCCCAGTGCTACACCCTCTGAGTACAGGTTAGCAACTCAACCAGTGAGGGAGCCTCTCTGCAGAATCTCTCAGAATCTCTATCACTGCTGCCTCTGAAAATTGGACCCCTCGGCCATTAATCTTCTCAGAAGATGGCTTTCGTAACCCCTCGACTCCTCGTGTTGCTCTTTTCTCAGTTGAGGCCTCTGGCAGAGCCTGGGTTACATACCTGTGGTCTTGCCATGAGAAAGGCTGGAAAAAGCAAATTTCTTATTCTCTTTCGGGAAAGTAGGAGTCAAATGTGGGGAACTACCAAAACACAGGGAGGATGTTGAGAAGTTAGCGGGTGACCACAAAGCATGAAAGAGATCCGCTGCCTGCCCGAAGCCTGAAAATGGAGCCAACAGCAACGGATTGGAGCTGAGAAATAGAGCAACCAGGTGCCATCATTTAAGGCCTCGACCAAGTCATGCTTTAAGTATAGCCGTTGACTCTCCAGTTATTTGAAGGATACATTCCCAGTTGTGCTCAGGCCAGCTGGGATTGGGTTCACTGACACGTGGAACAGAAGGCCTCCTAATGATTCATGTCTAAAACGGCTGGGCAGCAGCACAGTGGCTGGCAGTGGTGCCCTGCTCGGACGCTGGGAAGTTTTGGTTGCCCTCAGTTCCCAGTAAGTGGGAACGAGGCTGATGGTCATGGAATCGTTACTTCTGGCAGGGCAGGGGTTTGGTTTCCCTGTCGCCCGGGAGACAGCAGTTCTCCATGCGGCAGGGCACTTGCTCACACGTAGCACAGTTACCAGGACAGTTAAAGTTATAGAGTGGGTGACACATCTGTGGCAGATACTGCTAGTTGCTTATCTCGTATCCGGTTTTCTTTTCCTCAATGATAAAAATTAGAAGAATAAACACTCGTATAATACTTGTTATGTATCAGAGACTATTCTAAACCCTTTATTCATATTAACTCATTTAATCCTCACAAGAACCCTGTGAGAAAGGTACTGTTATTATGCTTACTTTACACATGAGAAAACCGAAGCACAGAATAGTTAGGTAACTTGAGTACTCACACAGCTAGTAAATGAAGGAGCAGGGTTTTGCACCCAGGCCATCTGGCTCCATAGGCTGTATTTAACCTCTACGTTGCACTGCCTGATTTTGTTTGATTAGGCATGTGTCCAGCTAAAACAGCTTGATTTCCCAAGCTCCCTTACAGCTAGAAGAGACTGTATGCCATAATTCTAGCCAATGAGATGTATAGAAGTAGGTTGGCTTCCAAAACTATTTCTTTAAAAGGAAGTAGACTCGGTTGGTATGCCCTCTTTTGCCCTTACTTCTTTGCTTTCTGCCTGGAATGTAAATGTGATGCTGGAAGTAGAGCTGCCACTTTGTGACCATGAGTTGACAATTATGAAGAAGAAAGCTACATGGTTCAGCTGAAAGAAGGAAGTGCCTGGATCCCTGCCCCAGATTTCCTACTTCCAGATTCCTTGTTACATGTGAAAAATAAAACCCCTCATTTTTTTAAAAAATAATTATTTATTTATTTTTCCCCCCCAAAGCCCCAGTAGATAGTTGTATGTCATAGCTGCACATCCTTCTAGTTGCTGTACGTGGGACGTGGCCTCAGCATGGCCGGAGAAGCGGTGTGTCGGTGCGCGCCCGGGATCCGAACCCCGGCCGCCAGCAGCAGAGCACGCGCACTTAACTGCTAAGCCACGGGGCTGGCCCAAAACCCCTCATTTTCAATACCATTGTTTAGTGGGAGTTTCAGTTACATGAGAGAAAATACAATCCCTACTGATTCAACATTTCCACATTTCTCACCCTTAGCTGTCTCCTGTACCATTTTGACCAAGTCTTTAATCTGCCCACCAGCTACTGAGGGACTGCCCTGTGTTCCCGTCCCCTGATTGAAATTGTTTATGTCGCATGCCTGCAATATGTCTAGAAGCACAGTGTTGGACAGTGTGGGAGTTTAAAAAAACAGTATATGATATGGCCCCATCTCATGGAGTCTGAAGAACATTAGTTTACCCAAAGGACTCATTTGTTCCAAGATGTTAATGGATGATAATGGCTTGATGTGGTTTTCCTAATGCGGGATGCTATCGGATTTTAATTAGACTCTGTCTCCTCTCTCTTAAAGAGGAAACTCAAAAGAGGAGAAGGCAGAGGGGAGAGGGGGACAGGGTGATATGTGAAAACCTGTCTAATATTAGAGATTGCCTCGTGGTATTCCTCTCAACACCAGCTATCTGTAATCTCCAAAATCACCCCCAGTCACATTCAATGAGTTGAGATTTGATAGAGATAGCCACTCAAGTGAGAAACAGATCAGCTCAAAATACTTTGTCTCTCCCTCCCTTATTTATATGTCTTGAGATGCTTCCACTTTCTAAAGTCACTCCCCTGGGACTGTGGAACTGAGCATAGAACAACTTGGCTACTCACCACTCCTACAGAACTCCACTTAAAAGGAAGTGTCTGATAGCAGCATCCAGACAGTGCTACTTGGTGATGGAAATGAAATTGGTTACTCCCTCTACTTCCCCAACACTTACTGTCTTCTTTAGATTTACAAGTGGATTCAAGTGTGCACACCATGGGACTTGCCTGCAAGCTGTTCCTCAGAGTCTAATGGGAAGATTTCAAGAGTGAGGCAGGTGTTAAACAAAAATCATATTATGTGCCTTTATTAGTGATTTTAAGTATTTGTAATTTTGGGGGATACAATTAGAGTATAGTCTGAAGGCTATATATAATAAAACCAAAACCAATTAGTAGGTTAACTCAGAGGCTGTCTGCAGGCTAGCAGCTTCCCTCTGCTAAATCCTGTTAAAATGCAGTGGGTTCTATTTTGTGCAGAATGAGCAGGCTGCCATGACAACTGTCTGTGAATATTATTTCAATAGTAGTTATAGGATTCCAGTGTCTGCCTCTGGGTCCAACATTCGTTCTAAAATCCAGACGTACGTCTATTCTTAAAGGAGTTCTCCGGGACGTGTTTACAAAAAACAAAAACACAACACTTTCAACTGGCTGGGTTGTTTTTCTTTTGGAACAGAAATTCGAATGAATTTACACAATTGCATATTGTAGATTTTATTGCTGTTCTTTTCTTTTGGAAAGGTGGTTTGGGTATGAATTTATATTGTACTTGACTATATATTTGATTAAATAGATGCACTAGACCAGTTTGGAAAGTTCCCCTCTAGGTCTGTAATCCTTACATCAAATTATTCTTTTCTTCATGTAACAGTATCAGAAGGAATCTTGTGGTTGCAAATGACAGAGGATTCAACCCAAACTGAGTTAGCAAAACCAGTCTCAAATGAATCTGACTTGAAATTCCAGAGGTAAAATTTCAACTGGAGATTTATGAGGGAGGGCTCCAGCTCCATTTCCCTGCCCTTCTCTTGGTCTGCCCTTCTCCGTGTAACAATTGCATCCCCCACACTGGCTCTCCTCATGGTGACAGCCTTGCTCAGAGCACCACACTTGGGGGAGAAGAGTGAGTCTATGTCCCAGTGCTCTCTCCAGGAGCCCTGAGACTCACTCATATTGCCTGTCTTTAGCTATGTGCCCATATGAACCCTCCCTTTTGCCAGGAGAAGAGGGTGTGCTACCTGCCTTAGGCCTGAGTTATGTGCTATCCCTGGACAATCACTGTTGCTGGGGAAGTGGGCTGTGCTAATTGGCTTAAGCCAATCAGGGCCCACACTCACAGTGGGGGGTGGTCAATCCCATGCAAACCATGGGGCTGAGAATAGGGAGAGGGTTGATTTCAAAAGGACAATTGGGGTACTATTGCAAGGCAATGAGGGGAATACTTAGTAGCCACCTGGTTAGGGAACAGAATGCTGGGCAAATAATAATAGCTAAGATTTATTGACTACTAACTATGAGCCAGTCACCACTCAAACCGCTTTACAAGTGTATTGGTTAGAGAATGTGTTTGGCTGCATGTAATAAGGTAAATGAAATAGCAGGGACTTAACACAGAGGGGTTGGTTTTTATTTCACATGATGTGAGGCCAGGAAAGAAGCAGCTTCACATTGTCATCCATGTCTCAGGCTCATCTTCCATCTTTCTGCTCTCTTCCTAATGTGCACAAGAGGGCTGCTCCACCTCCAGGCGTTGTGTCTTGGTTCCAGGCAGAAAGGGGTAAGGGCAAAGAGGAAAGGGCTCATGCCAGCTAAGTCTTATCTTTTTATTAGGAAAACAGCTTTTCTGGGAGCCTCAGCCAGCAGATTTCTGCTTATATCTCACTGGACAGAACTGAGTCATGTGACCACCCCTAACTGCAAGGGATCCTACCAAATCAAGTTTTGTGTGCCCATTGCCACCTAGAACAAAATTAGGGTTTTATTGGTTAGGAGAAGAAAGGGAGAATGGATATTGGTTAGGCAACTATCAGTAGCTGCCACAATATGTATTAACCCATTTATTCCTTACATCAACCCAGTGTGGGCGGTACTATTACTATCTCTGTTTTCTAAGAAACAGGCACAGAGAGGTTATGTAATTTTCCCAAGCTCACCTACCGCTGTTACGCGGTGGAGCTAGAAAATGACCCCAAGCAATCTGAGTCTAGAACCAGATTCTATCATGCTCCCAGACACATCCTGACCCACAGGCCAGACCACATTTCTTCTCTAGGATGTGTATCCACTTAGGGAATGAAGGTCTCTCCTAGAAATGGTAGCTAATATCTGTTTAGCACTTTATAGTTTCTGAAGAATATTCCACTTAGATTATTCCATTTAAATATTATTCCATTTTTCAAATGAGGAAACTGAGGCTCAGAGAAGTTACATAAGTTGCCTAAGTTCCCCAGGTCATAAGTAGCAGAGCTGATATTTCCTTGAAGTTACGAAAACTTACTCCTGGTCCCCTTTCCTAATCCTCCTATTCTTCCATGCACAGAGACTTCATTTTTAATTTTTTAAAAGGACAATTCTTGGCTCCAGGCCCTATATTAACTTCATGACCTTCTCAGGAAAACAATCCAGAGAAATCTTGGATCTCTCACCAACTGGCTTTCCTAGTGTCCTTTTCCCGTAGCCACACCAGCAGGAACATGGCATCTCAGCAGGAATTGTGTTCAGCAGGGAGAAACAAAGACCTAAACAGGGAGGTTGTTTTTATCTCATGTAATATAAAATCCAGAGCTTCGTTCAAAATATTAAAGTGCTCAGTACAAAGGGCTCTTATCTACCTGTTAAAAAGTCATTAAACATATAGAAATTTCCTGTCCTTAGTTACGTCAGGTTAATTTGTGTTACATTTCCTTAAAACTACTTTGTAAATCAGACTTTTCGCTAAGGATGACGGTCCACCTCACTGGGGTACATTAATGAAGTTTCACTACGTTACTGATACCTCAGTTTGCTTATAATTGTTATTTCTCTCATTCTTGCCAAATATTTGAAATCTTTAGCTCTTTCCAAATATTTGAAATCTTTAGCTTATGGCATGGTTTTATTTATATATCACAACATTCTCTTGTTCTGGTGTTACTCCTGAATTGACCCTAAAAATCACAAGAACATTGTAGAATATAGTTTGACTTTAAAAAGTCATGAAAGAGTGGGTTGAAAAAGTAATAGAGATTTAAATAAAAATCATAATAGGGGCCGGCCCCCTGGTGTAGTGGTTAGGTTCAGTGTGCTCCAGGTGTTCGCAGGTTCAGATCCCGGGCTTGGGCCTCATCAGCCATGCTGTGGCGGCGACCCACGTACAAAATAGAGAAAGACTGGCACAGATGTTAGCTCAAGGTAAATCTTCCTCACCAAAAAACAGAAAAGCAAAAAACCCTACTGCATGGTAGAGCAGTGCCTCTCGAAGTATGCTCCATCACTTGGGAGTTTATTAGAAATACAGATTCATGGGCCCTACTGCAGACCTGCTGAATCAGAACCTCTAGGGGCTGGGCCAGGGAATCTGTGTTTTAACAAGATCCCCAGGTGATTTATAAGCACATTAAAGTTTGAGAAGCCCTGCTTTAGAGAGTTTTATGTAAATGAGACACACAGATTGTACACTCTTTGGAATATTGGTGAAAATACTAACTTCAGCTTTAGTAAACTAAGACCTATATTAAACCCTAGATTCTCCTTTGCAAGTCCCCAAATCCTAGGCTCCAGTTATCTACTCTGGGTCACCGAGCCTTAACTCAAGTGTATGCTTGACTCCATCCCCCATCAACACCTTCACCTAATTAACTAGTATTTGTCTTTCAGACATCAGTTCAAAGGCTACTTCCTCAGAGAAGCCTTTGCTTGACCTCCTGACTCATTCTCATGATACATGTACTTCTCCTTTGCAATTTCCTATTTATTTTTGGGATTATTTCATTAATGTTTATTTCCCCCACTAGATTATAAACTTCATGAGGGAAGGACCTTGTCAGTTCTGTTAATTGGTGTATCCCCAGGGTCTAGAACAGTACCTGGCACACAATAGGTGCTCAACAAATATGTGTGGGTTTTTTGTTTGTTTTTGTTTTTTGCTGAGGAAGATTTGCCCTGAGCTAACATCTATTGCCAATCTTCTTTTTGTGCTGAGGAAGATTTGTCCTGAGCTAACATCTGTTGTCAATCTTCCTCTTTTTGTATGTGAACCACCGCCACAGCATGGCCACTGACAGAGGTGTAGGTCCGTGCCTGGGAACTGAATCCAGGCTGCCAAAGTGGAGTGCGCCAAACTTAACCACTAGGCAACCAGGGCTGGCCCTCAACAAATATTTGTTGAATGAATATATGAATAAAACCAAGATAAGAATAAGTGCTCTTAGAGAAAATTCTCTAAAAACTTTCCCAAAGGCTTCACCATAAACCCTTAGTTGTCTGAGGCAATAGTAGCAGGGGTTTTGAAAAGAAAGCCATGGATATGTCCCAGGCTTTGTTTTAGCTAATAGTTTCAACATTCCTCCAAAAAATCAACTGTTCCTTGTTTTATATGTTCATAAACACAAAAATGGTTGACAGGGAGGCAGTGGTGGCAAAACGAAAGCTTGACGAACCTGGAACCTGCCTTTCTAATAAGCAGGAAGTAGTTCTGTCATCCAGGTGGTGTTGTTGACATTACTGTTGGTAGGTACTGTCATACCTGTATCTGACATTGTGGGGTTGCCACAGAAACCTATTAAAGAATCATTCTAGAATCTACCTCTGGAAAATTCCAGATGAGGCTGAGGAATCCTCTTCAAGTAAGACCTATCAGTGTGACGATGGATTGTGTCCTGAGCCTACAGATCAGGCTGAAAGATACAGCAGCCAGCAAAATGAAGATCTAGGAGTCTGTTTTCCTGGAACCTGTGTGGAACTGATACAACTTAGAGGGAAGGGTAAGAACTCTTAAAGGAGCAGATGAATTGAATGAAATCTGGGTAGTCATAGAATCATATGACTGAATGTTAACCTTCTTCCTCTGTTTGCTTAGTTGTTTGGCCAATTCTTGTGGACTTTATGTTTTGTGTATGGAGTTTATCATACTTTAATGTATATTATATTCAAGCTATCTTTATAGGGTAGAACTGGGTCATTTTGATGTAATGGATAGAGTACTGGCCACCAAGTCATAAGACTGTGACGTTGGGGAGGCCACCTAACCTGTCTGGGCCTGGTTTCCTCTCCTATAAAATGAAGGGCCTTTCTGAACAAGTCCAGAGGACCAGAGTATCTTACCACATCACAGGCTCACCTGTTACAGAGCTCTAGGCCAAGAACCTCATGATTTTCTTGCAAGGGGACTCCACCGTCTGTGCCTAGGTCAGTTGCCCAATTCCCAGTGCTTTGACATGAGAGGGAGTTGCATAAATGTATGTTTTTCGTTTTACTTTTGTCTTGGAATGGCAGATTATAGCTCCTGCAGAAGGGAAATAAGAAGTAAGGAATTAACATTGCTCTGCCATTGACTCATGCTAGATGTCAAACTGCAATACATGCAAAACGCCAGCACATACAAGCTAAAGGAACAGATTGTGGCAATATTTAAAAATATCACAACTCTCTAAATAAGAAGCAGTTCTGATAAGCCTGAATTTGGAGTTCATGCAAAACACCCTTAACTCTGAAAATCTGAGTTGTACATTGCCAAGGTCAATTACTTTTGTGCAGTAATTATAGATAAAGGTATTTTGGATTATGTGGTAATACCTGTCTGCCTTGGTTTACAGACGCTCCTCTCTCCTGGGCTCCTTCCTGTCCAGATTGTCCCTTGTTTAGTCTCCTTTGCTCCTTCCTCCTCATTCCTTTTATTTATTTATTTTTTTATAATTTTACTTATTTATTTTTTCCCCCAAAGGCCCGGTAGATACTTGTATGTCATAGTTGCACATCCTTTTAGTTGCTG